AACAGGGTCTCACAAATTTTCATTAACTCACATCTTACAAATCCCATCACATTATTAGAAAAGTTAGTGCACCACCTGATAATGCATTTAACAGAATTGGGCAGGGTTGCTCTGCTCTGTAACCCATTCATTCTCACAAAACTCACACTCCATTAACTGATTGAATTAGTGCCTCAAATGTTCTAAAGAAAATGTATGGCTTTTGCTGTAAGGCGTATTAACTGTACCTCACTCTACAATGTGAGCTTTGTGTTTGGTATTAAAGTCAAACTAATTAGTCTAATGCTTTTATTCTGGCTTTTAGGATTTTTCATTCGAAGCCCCGCATAGATACCCAGCCAAAACAGCCATCCCATTATTGGTATCAGTTTCCATTTGTCTAAATAAAAGTCCTCTCCTCGGTGGGGTGTTTTAATATCATGCTAATTCACCAGAGAGATAAATACTGAGATCTTTCTTCATTATAGTAGACATGAATTGTTCTTAAATTATGCTCAATAATTTGACATAATGAGAGCATCATAAAACAAGCATGTATTTAAATCACTGCGTAAAAAGTCACTGGAGGTTAAAGGGTAGTTAAGGACGATGAGGAGGTAGATTCATTTACTCTACCTTAAGCAGAGTATTCATATTTTAAGGGGAAGTTCTGTTTTCTTTTTACAAAATTGTGCTTATTTTTGTATTTTTGACCAGACCAGATGGCAGTTTGTACAGCTTCATCACTGTAATGTGGGCTATGTTGACCATATGACGACACAGCATGTGTGTAATGTGAAAGGTGTCACTAGTGATCAACCCACAGCTGTACGGAGCCTTCAGCTTATTGGTTTGTTTTTTTACGGACCTCAGCTTTAGTGCTTTAGGGTTAACCGAACTGGAACGCACATGCAGGCACAGAGAGAACATGTAAGTCTCACACACAAAGGCCAGCTGTTCTTCTGTTAAATATAAAAAAAAAGAAATAAAGAAATAAAACAACAGAAAGGTGAAAGTCCTATTTTCCTGGTTGTTAGAGGATTATTCCTGGCAGAAACCTCACCAGACCACAAGCTTTTAGAACAGCAAATGTTAAAAGCTTTCATTAAATGGATAAACAGCATTAAATTACTATTATGTAACAATAGTCTTTTATATATGTATCTAAATGTTGCAGTGTAGATTGTTGCTAAAAATCCCTCCTTGATTATGATGTCGGAGCTGGAGCAGTTTACCTTGTACAATACTCCTGTTCAAGGCTGTCCCTAAGCTGGCCTCTTAACAGGGTGTAGTTTGTCTTGTTATAGATCTACTCCACCCAGACGTGTTCCCACTTCAAACTAACCACCCCTCAATCGCCAGCTCCTTTTCTTTGCAACCCTTTATTCCTCCTCCTCTTCCTCATCAGTCTGCATCCACCCACTGGCACTTCACAGCCGCCTGCCTCCTCTTCGCTCCGTGTCTTGTGCCTGTGTTGCTGAAGCACTTCACAACACTGATGCTAAAGGTGTCTGATTAAAGTTTGATTAAATCTCAAGCGATGTTCAAATTATTGCAGCTTTGCACACATGCTGCTGCTTGGGGAGTGGAGAAATTGAGGTCGGGAATAAGTACTATAAAAGTGTATGAGGACATGTTAAAAAAATGAAATCTTCAGCTCCGTGTTTAGCTCACGCCGCTTGAGTCAGCCTACCAGAACGCCGCTCATTTGAATCGTGCAATTGGACACAACTGTAAGGGATTATCACTCCAAACAAATGATCTTGTTTCAACTACTCTCTCTTTTTACTTCACTTGTTGACTAGACTCACTCTAAATATATCATCTCTGGATGAAGCGTATTGTGAAGCTGTACATCAATATTGCCTTTCGTTTACTTACGTTTTGCTGACATTTTTTTTCTGCGGATACAAAAATGTTTCATGCCACAGGGACAATGGCAGACCATACATAGTGCAGTATAAATGTCAAGACTGCCTATATCAGAGAGGAAGATCTAGCATTTTTTCTTCTTTTAAATAATAATCACCACTTTCATGTAGGAAAATGTTGTTGAAAATGTCTATTTGTTATTTCCTAATGCTACAATCAGCGATTCAAATTATGTCTATATGATAAAAGCCTTTAAATTCATTTGTTTTAATCACAGCAACTGTCTTTACCATCTAAAACCCTGTGTTAAAGAACAACACTAGGAGTCATAAACAGTCATGCTAGCAGCTCTGTGAGGCGTAGACACAGAGGTTTCCTCCCACCGTCCAAAAATATGCAGGCTAGGTTGATTGGTTACCCTAAATTGTCCTTAGGTGTGAGTGTGAGCGTGAGTGGTTGTTCGTCTGTGTGTGGCCCTGCAATGGACTGGCAACCTGTCCAGGGTGTACCCCGCCTTACGCCCGATGTCAGCTGGGATTGGCTCCCCCCCCCCGCGACCCTGTACACAGGATAAGCGGTTGACGATGGATGGAGTATTGCAGTTCATCTTGTGGAGAACCATAACTTTCAACCTCATATTTCAGTCTAGACCAAAGCCGACTGACCGACATTGCCATCCCTCAAAGTGATGTGTTTTATATTTCGAAGAACCGGATAGTTAGCATTAGCAATGATAGACAATATTGCTGGACATAAAGAATTAAAATTGCCACCTGAATAAACCTAAACTATAAATAAGCAGGAAATCCAAAGAAAAAGACCAAACTGGAGACTGTCTGATTACAGGATGCAGCAAAAGAGCACTAAGCGCTAAAAATGGAGGCATAATTATAAACCAAGGAACTACTTTAATTTAGATAGGATATTTCTGTAGCCCATCTGACAATTGTTTCATAATAGATATTTATAATTCATAACACTAATATTTTGTCTTAGTGCTACTGTATCTCTGAAACTGGACACAAGAGGCAAATACTGTGTCTGGATGTTGGCTGCTGATCAGAAGAGAAAACAGGGCTCACTGCAGACAGCAGGTTTCCAGCAATGCTCGCTGTATCTTGCCTTTTTTTAGCAACACTAGTCAACTGAAAATACATGCTAATGCTCCAGCTGCAGCAGGCTGCAATCAGCTGTCTGAGCACAATCAGTGTGGAGGAAGAGGAGCTCATGCAAATAGATTTTTCTTTAAATTACATATACATTTAAAATATGCACAAGCTACCACATGAATATTTTATCAAGTAGAAGAGACTACACTGTATTTCATATTTGTTCAATGTTAGTTTTCAGGAATTGATTTAAAAATACTTGTCTTGTTTTGTCCAATAAATAAATATGAACGTTTTTATAGATATGACAGGACTTTTTTGCCATCTCTGTGTTTTCTTCATTTGTCATATCCCTCCGACCAGGGACGGACTAGGAGTAAAAAATGGCCCTGGACTTTGATCCAGCCCAGCCCACCAGAACGGTTCACCGTATACTCCACCACGGCCGCCCTGCTAATGCACGCACGTACAAACAGGACCAGCCTCTAATAAACCACGTAGCAGCATCACAGCATCGATCACTATGGCAGTACTACTTTTAAAAGGCTGCAGAACAAACACTGAAACTGTCATGATTGAACTACCTCACACCACACGAAGCCTTGAGATAAAAAGACTAAAATATCCACAATCCTCACTGAGATAGAGTGGCGTTTCATACGGACGCAGAAGGGTACCTATAGCGTAAAATAATTACACTTTGTCACGCTGTCTGAAAGCGTCTGCAATGACGCACTGAGATGAGAACGCGTTGTTTGAACACACAGTAACTGTAGGCTACTCTTTACCTCAGTTCTTTCTTTCTGGTACATGTACAACAGTAGCTGACCAATAGCATTTGAATTTCACTGTTGGATTCTGATAACATGTTGTATTAACACATTTAGACACATTTCTACCGTTTAGCAGCACTATCTCTGGCTTCGCTGTCCTCTCTGTTTAATCTTTCACCTGTGAACAGGGCTGTGGCATCTTCCTCCTCTCGGTCTTAGCGTCTGTGGCCCTGGCACTAGTACGAGTCACTTACTTTATTACATTTACTTGCATTTAAGCAAAGACCTTTGACTCTTTCGTTTTTCATTTTTAAACTCAGCTTTTCCATTTTCTGTTGTAGCTCGTTTGCCAGCTGTCAGTGTCACTGTGGTGTGTGTGAGTGAGACAGATTGGGCGGGGCTAAGGGCTGCGTAGAAGTTTCATATGGAATAGACCAACAAGCCTGGTTGGCCCGTGTTACTCAACCTTCCTCCAATGTTTTTTTTCTCAGTAAAAAAGTACAGGCTAAGAAAGGCAGCCCATCGGGAATTGTCCCAGTACTCCAGATGGCCAGACTGCCACTGCCTGTGATCTGAAATCAAAAATGTTTTTTCAATAATTATACTGTAGCCTAAATACATTACGGAAGCACACTGCAGTCAGCAAAGAAAAACAATTGGAGACAATACGTATGTCATTACGAGATCTTTCCTATGTCATATATATGAAAAAAAGGTATCATTATTACAAGACCCATATGTGGTCATTTCAAAGAAATCTCATAACTACGAGGTACAGATTAAAAGAAAATAACGTTATAATTATGGAACACAGTTCTCGTAATTACAAGCAAACTGTTTCATAATTATGAAGTAAGGATGTCATAACGATGGAAACCGTACAAAATATTACAATCTAGGTATCTTGTTATTACAAGTAACAAATCATGTAATTATGGGATGTGGATGACGTGATTCCAAGATTCTTATCTCAAATAGAAGTCACAATTGCATTACATAATTACTTCTCAATTTTCTTCTTTCTCCCATTATGCCCCACTGCTGTGAAGTTGCGCACCCTGACTGCTGTAATGAAATTACTGCAGTAATGACTTACTTTCCCCACAGGGGTCAATAAAGTTTCATTTTGCCCTGTGTTATTTAATTGCCTGTGCTGTTACCTAGCATGCTTTACATACGCAAACACACTTGTTTGGTGTGCCTTGATGTTGCTTGTTTTAACACAGCGGAGTGACAGCTTGTCATGTTTGTCTCTGATCTCCTGCAGGTTCACGTGGGCACGTCTCATCAGGAGCAAAGGGTTGTGGGATATCTCACGTGTACGCACCTCCATGCCATAGAAGGTACAGTTACATGTTCTGCAGCTGTCCTAACTCTCTCTCTGTCTCAGACACACACATACACACAGGTAAATGCACATACACACATGAATGTATTCATATGATTTCTATGACGTTGCATTTCAAGGCTGTTTTGTATTAAGAGTGGAGAACATCTGAAATCTGTGTGTGTGTGTGTGTGTGTGTGTGTGTGTGTGTGTGTGTGTGTGTGTGTGTGTGTGTGCGTGTTTATTTGTATGTCCAGATAGCTAGATAAATGGGCGCATCAAAACCCCTGCATGCCTCCTCCTGCTGTTCCCATGGAGACTGGCTCAAGCTGTTTAGGGCGTCACAGCCCTATTTAAAGCCACGGTCGATGCCTCCCTCATTTTTTACCAAAGACACGGCTCCCCCCTTTGCCTGCTATTCTGGGCTCCTCCTACGCTTCTCAGAGGCCTAAATATAGCAGTGCCAGGGCTGTTTCTAAAGATACATCAAACATAAAGCCTTTGGGGGGAGGGGAGTGGGATATGGGGGAAAGGTAGAGAGAACGGGAGGAAAAAAGGGGGAGGAGCACGGAGACCTGATTTTTTTTTTTCTGAGAGGAAAGTAAATCAGTAATCTTTCCTGCTGGAGTGCACGATGCATGATGCAGTGTGACTGACTACATATAGAGAACATATACTGAACATGATACTACATGAACTGTCAGTGATAGCCCTTAATCTCACATTGCTCTGGTTTGTCTCTTGTATTAGTTCAATTTCAGAGTAGTTTTGAGTAGTTTTCTCCAACACACCTGTCTTGACAGCCACTCAGGTGTGTAAAGGCTTTCTTGACTGAGTGTGCTGCTACTAGCATCATTAGTAACAGTAGTGCATTTCGGTGACAGTTACAGTTTTTTTAAATTAGAAGTTGTTTTGGTCTATAACTAATTACACAGAAAGCATTTACTAGAAAACAGCACAACAGAGCATTTTCTAAAGACCAAAAAGTTGCCTACCTGTTTTACAATACACAACCAATAGACAACCTTTTTACACTAGCCCCAACATACTCATGCAAACATCACAGTGTTCATTTTATATTTGTTCATCCTATTAATTTTAACATATCTTTAAAGTCACAGTGTGTTGCACACATGTTCAGGTCCTCACTACAACTGTTCCACCAACAACTGTAAATTCACCCCTTTTAATGAAATACAATTATTTTTCCCCTCTCAAGTTGTTTTGGTGCCGTTAGTAGCTGTTTGTTTGTTTGTTAACACCATACATCACGTGTACTGTTTACCATGTATTTGTCTTTAATTTGATTGGGTCTGTAAGTTCCTAAGATGTACAACAAGGCAGTTGAAGTAAAAATCTGATTTGTATTTGTTTTTAATGTATTTCCCCATACTTCCACACAGTATGGAAAGTAGTTATTTCAAGGAAATGTTATTTGAAGAGTTTTAGTGTGCCATTAATGCGGCCTGATTGAGTTTTCAGGCTCTTCAACAATTCTGAAGCTGCGTTCTTCAGAGGCCTGATAATCACACTGCTTTGCCATTTAATTTCACTTCCTTATTCAGGCTGACATCTAATCATGTTAGTCGCTTGGTCCTGACCAATCCGAAGACAGCGACATATCTGTCTGACCCTATATTCAGTCGTCACAGAAGGTGCAGTAGCGGTTGTTAGGAGCAGTTAACTAAACGTTTGTCATATCAGTCAGATACTGTTACTTAATTTGACTCATAAACACCGGTCCACTATTTTTTTTACAAATGTAGTTATTTGTTAATCTCTGGCCCAGTTAAATGCCCATTCTTAGTCCAGCCTCAGTGTCCTGACTGGCTGGTTGTTTTTACTGCTGGATAGAGTCGTGAGATGTAGGCAGCAATTCAGAGGTCTGGAACCAGACTATATAAAAACTGCACCTCCTCCCTGAGACAGTCTGCAAAGGATTCAACACAGTGCTGCTGCAAGTTCCACTCCTTTACCTTGGACAGACAAAAACTAATACTGCCAATAGTTGTAGATCAAAAATTTAACGTGAAACCGTTGTCCATCATGTGCTGAAGTGAAATGTCACAGTTCATGTGAACTTGGCCAAATTCCCCACTGGTATTCACCACTTTGTCAGTCATTCAAAGATGGCTTTGTGGTTGTTGACTTGGAATTCCCAAAGTTATGAATTGGCAAACACTACCTTAATGCAATATTTAACACGTTTTACAGTCCTGAGAGTGACGGATACTCTGGTAGTATCTTCCAAAGTCGGACAAAAGAAGGCAGCATTGCTCATTTGGATCTGGAGGAGCCTTTGGAACAAATCTGTTTCACCATAATTGCTGTAGATAGGGGGTTGGACAATTGATCATACTTTGGCACTACATTAGAATAGGAGTTTTGTTGAGTTACGGATATACCAATTATTATATTATTTGGCAGGCAGGATGTTCACACACAGAATGCCAAGCTGAAACAAACAAGCGGGCATACACACACACACACACACACTCACACAGGCAAATGTACAGCTTCATCTATCTCAGACACACACACATTACATTTCACATGTACTTGAGCTGGAGCTGAGAGTAATCAAAGCCAAAGCCACCTACTCATCCACCACTATCTTGACACCTCTTTGTTTCTCACACTCTTCACTATTCAGCTGTTATTTCTCTCTCACACACTCTCGCCTACCGCCTCACTTATTCACCTCCTCCCTTCTCTCACTAACTCCAATTTACCAAATTTACTGGCAGGAGTGGACAAAAGAAAACACTGCCAAAGCAAAAGCGCATCAAAAGCGACTTATTAATAGTAACATAATAGATACACTCAGTGACTAAGTTTAATAAATGTCATTAAGTAAAGAACTGAAAACTGAAAACTGTCAGTAAAATCAGGGACAGTTTTGTGCAGTTTGTCCCTACAACGTGACAGTACACCATTCAGACATAAAAACAATTAGTTTGGGGTGAAAAAGACATGATAAACCACAGAAACCTCCATTCCCATAAATTATGTCCCTGTAGTGGATTTTAAAACCTACATTAACGGATTTTTTTGGCCACTCAGGGGCAACAAAACAATATGCACATATTATATTATCATACAAAGTTCGTATGGCTATTAACACGCAGTTGCCTTTCACTCATCCAGCCGAGACAAAGCAATAGGAATAGTTAGCCTTTATTTGGAGTCATGTTTTTGGCCAAGTTTTTAATCGTGTCTGGTCATATCCTGACCCGCTGTGTTGTTTGTAGTGTTTTGCTGATTCCAAATCAGGGGTCTAAGGAGAAGTGGTGTTTTACTAATTGTAAAGAACTCATTTGGGCTGTATAAACAAAAATGATCTGACTAGACATACGTCGTTTGAGGTCAGGACCTATGTTTTCTGATCAGTGCAGATTGGACTGTATAACATTGCTGGACTGTTGTCCTCTGTTGCATCATACTGTGTCCTGTTTTGTTGTAATATATATGTTTCATACCTTATTATATCATATCCTGAGGGTTTATATTGTATAATATATTATATTATGTACTCATTGTGCTGAAATTCAGCACTGTGAATTTACAGTTGTTGGTGGTCTATGACCTTCTCTCGATCTTTAGCCGTCCCTCTCTTCCTCCTTCTTTTGTAGCTCAGGTCCTTTTCGTTCAGACATGCTTGGGTGACTTTACAGCGAAAATTTTGTATTCATTTGCTTCCTCTCTCCCCTTTCCCCCACCTCCACCCTCTCTCTACCACAAACGCATGCTGCACTGTCTACCAGGTGACGCATCTGTGCGCTGTGAGCAGCTGGACCTGTTGCTCCAGTGGGGGGCGGAGTTTCGCCAATCCTCATCCCAACCACCTGCAGGAAAGAAGGTGCTGGAAGACCTGGTGGCCTTTGATGTCATCCTGGGAGACCTCAACTTTGATAACTGCTCTTCAGGTACGAAGCTGTGAGGGCTGTATCAGTATATTATTAACTATGCATTCTGTGCCAGTCAGCTCACACAGCAGCATGATGGAGGATTCATCTCTCTGTATCTCTTCCACTGTGATCATAAAACCCAACTGCATCATTTATCATTTATAGAAGTGTATGTATATGAGACCTCTCATAGCTCTGACATAGGATAGTTGCATGGTGCCAGGGTTTTTATAGTGGAAAATAAGAAACTATTAATGTATTTACCATTAATGTAGAAAGCTTGACTACAAACTTATGTAGAAACACTTGACTCATCATTACTAAATAAGTCAGTACTTTCTTTCTTCCTCCTCTAAACATGACTGATGTTAATTTACTGAAAGCACATGACACACCGTTATCCGGCCTAACCACTGTCATGATTCTCTGAGTCCATAAAAATGAAAGCGGGTTGCGCAACTCTTCTCCAGTACACCATGCTTCATTCATCAAATGTATCTGGCTATCTTGAAGAGTTGTGTCACATTCTTAAATGGTCTGCAACTCTCTGTCTGTGTGTATGGGAGATTAATGCATAAACAAATCAAACAAAGAAATAAAGTGAAATAATACACTTTGTTATAGGTATTTCCTTTTTATGTGCATTCACTGTCATAGTGAAATGAAAAATACACATTAAAAAGACATTATTTAACTTTTTCTGACAAGAAATGTTAGTGCCGCATTAAAATCAAAAAATGAGGCATCGTGTTGCCTTTCACTGTCAGTGGTGAGAGCAGCAAGCACACTAAATGCAAAGTGTCATTCGTTTACAAGAGGAGGTGGAGGAGAGCTTTCTCTTTTTGAGATGGAGACACGCCGTCCATGCAAAAATATGAAACAATCAAACGTCCAATCACAGGTTAGAGGTGGAACATCACTGACACGAGCTGATGGTAGCCATGACAGACAGCCCTTCACATTAAAACAGCCAGCTGGAGGGACACTACTACTATTCACTGGACTTTTAGTTAAACTTATGACTGTTTTTTATTAAATTTGTTTTAATTATTTATTTATTGCAGGTCATTTTTATTTCAAAATGTTCTTTTTCCTAACTCAAAAGTCTGCCTGTCAATCAAGGCAAACAGGGCGGAGGCTGTGATGTGATATTTACTCGTTCACACAAAGGCAACAGCCAGTCACATACTATCACACTTGGGATTCCATACGTAAGTGATCAGTGATATTTAATAGTGTTAGTTGTTGGTGCTGGGGGTTACACAAATAACACAAGCTCAAGGCTTGCTTGCTAAGGACACGCATCAAAAAGCAAAATAAATGTCAAGACTGTCTTTGTGTTGCGGTATGAATGAAGAATTTTGTAAGAATAATGTTTTGGGGGGTTTTTTCAGCATGCTCCACATTATTTGGTGTCCTGATCATGAATGCTTATGTTACTCCCTGCACCCCAGGCAGAACACTGTGCAGAAGGGGAGAACTAGGCAGAAATCATGTATCATCTTCAAAAGAAGAATTAGGAACGTGTTACTCTTTTGTGAGCTTTATACTAATATTCTGACACTGTGTGTAAAATTGTACTATATGTGTATTTTTCCAGAGGACAAGCTGGAGCAGCAGCATGCACTTTTTACTCAATACAAGGACCCATGTCGCCTGGGGCCAGGAGAGGACAAACCGTGGGCTCTCGGTAAGAACATCCACATCCACACAAGCACAGTCACATGGTCCTCCAGGAACACAGTCAGACATCTCGTATACTGTAGATCTTTATGCAAACATACATAAACATCTAATACATGCATGCATTCACAAAAAATATACATCACCACCATTAACTAATCCTCAAACAGTGATGTGACATTACATTATGAAATGCAGGTGTTGCTATTGACACATAACCTCTGTAGCTCAGGAAATGTGGTGATCCATACTGTGCACGCTGAGCAGAGCAGACTCTAATCTGGCTCTGTCTGGCTAAATCAGGATGCACCCACTGTGTGAATTAAAATACACCCAGTACAGCGTGCTGATACATGGGCATTAGTGACGCAAAGACTGGAGGGTTTTGGTCTGGATGTGAAGCGTTATTTAGGCCAGCGGTATTTCGGGGACAGTGTGGGCAGGACAGAGTGAAAGGGCTCGCTTAGAGAAGGGCTTATTTATTTGCAGAGGAACACTTTGCTCGGCGATCCAGGGGAACAGATCTGTGACTCCCATTTGGTCGCTATTAGCCAGGAGGGGAAGAGGGGGGCAGAAGAAAAGAAGGATGAATCAATGAAAGAAAAGGAAGAATGATGATCCCGATTCATTAAGCTTATCCAAAGAAGATTAGACCTCAATGGGTACAATAGCGGAGAAAAAAGTCAGGCAAGGAGCTAGGCTGCCAGCTATTGTCAGATGTCTTCCTAATGGTGTGTTGATAGATTTCATGAAATCTCTGAAAGCTGCAGGAATCTTCTAGTTCTGACCACCCAGTCCCCCAGACAATATGCAGGACTTGAGCTACATTCAGATCACGAGGGAATTGCAGCTAGCCTGGGACCACTTGATAGTTAAAAAGCAGTGACATGGAAGTAAAATCACACGACTGAAGCTGTGAAAATGAAAGGTTTCAGTAAAACTCCCTCGCTGTTGATCATAACTGACATGGCTCATTTGGGGATGCGCTTGACTTCATGTTTGATGGCAGATGAAACGTGTCAACCACAAACCAAAAACCCAACAAGTACAGTAACTGTGGCTTCCTGTGTATTTTAGGAGCTGTGGTCAGAATTTGTCAGAAAGAACATTTATTTTCTTCCCCACGCATATGCTGCAGCGTGTTGGTTGCTGGTACGGAGAAACAGAGCTTGTGGTAACCACCTGAAAGAGGGTATCTTATGTATATCTACACTCTCCCAAACAAGCTGAAAGCAACACAGCAGACAGGCAGCAGCCAGTCTGTGTAGCTGCGTGCTCCTGCCTAACACCTCACCATCTTTGTTTCAGTGATCTAAAACCTGCTCTTAGACTTGCGAAAAGTGCCGGCTGTGCATCAGACGCCTGGTTTTCATAAGAGCTCACAGCACTCGGGAATTGACTGGAGTAACTTCAGAGTGCTGCTCTCTTCATATGGGGCATTTTAAACACATTATTCAGCCCACAGCCGCACATCCTCATTGTCAAAAGGAGCTCTGAGTGGCCATCTCTCTCTGGCTGTTATATTTCACTGGTTGATGATTTTGGTCTGAGGACCATACAGGTGGAGATATATGCTCCCACATTGTCTGCACTTTGCCACATCGAAAGAACCCAAGCTGTACTTTTAGAACAGCGATACTCAAAGGGAGAAGCTGGTTGTCATAGTGAGGGGGAGGACTGTAAAGTATACAGTATGTCAGTTTACAGTGTACAGAAAATAATGGTGGCAATATATGCAGGTATGTTGCTGTGAATGAAAAACATGGACTGGAGATGAAAGGTCAGTTCATCTCTCTGAATAATTGTCCTGACAATTGCTCCCAACATGACCCAGATTTCAATTACACACCTCCCACCTGAGAGGCTCTGTAGAGAAAGGAGGCAATGGGTAAAGCTGAAACGTGAAGAATGTAAAGGAATGTAATAGCGCCTTTTTTGAAGCTTGGATAGTCAGTTTCAGACCACCACCCACCACTTTCAGACGATCAACAGCACTTCCATCTTTGGGGGTCCTTCACTGAACTCATGGAAGTTGTGGGATGTAACTGGCTCTTCTTTTCTAAACACTATTACATTTAATGGAGGGTATTTATGAAATAATGAATATGAAGAAATGAAAAGTAGAGTGGACTTTCAATTAAAATGATCTGGCTACACTGTGGTCAATGTGTCATTATTGTCAACAGGTACTTTACTGGATCCCAGTGGCCTTTATGATGACGAGGTCAGCTCAGCTGAAAGTTTACAAAAGTAAGTCACCCACACACACTGACTTGTTTTTGTCACTCTGGATGACTGATGATAATGCTCATTAAACATTCCCTAAACCAGCCACAGGTCTAGTCCAGCCTTAACCTGAACCTTGACCTAAACCTAAACCTGTCCAAGCCTTGGAAAGGCTGTTTGATGACTAAAATGTCCCTGCTTTGCAAAAATGTCTTCATTCAAAGTCTGAAACTAAAGTTGGTCCTTACAAAGATACAACAGCCAGGAGCAGACACTTGTTTTATTGCTTTATTTGTGGGCCCCACATTCCTTCCTTTAAACCTACCAAACTTAACATCAACATTCTTATTATTATCTTGTAACTTTAAGTCCCAGTCAAAAGCTGACCTTTGACCTAAGCACTACACTTCATTGATTTGTGGTTCTCTGCACTCTTTTAACATAATTTCTGTAATTCCCTCTGAATTCCTGTTGTGTTATTACTTTTTATTACCTGTGTGCTGCATCCTCTTGTGAATCTGTCTAAACTTCAGTAACTGAGCCTTTCTCGTCACTGTGTGTGTCTCTGTCAGAGTGATGGAGAATGAGGAGGGCAGGAAGGAGTACCTGGTGTTCCCTCCCAGTAAAAGCCAGTGTCCCGCCAGCAGTCAGAAGGGGAGGAAGATCCCGCTGAAAGGCAACGGACGCCGGATTGACTACATCCTCTACAGCGACGAGGGCCTGCAGCAGGACTGGAAACTGGTATGGTTTAGTAGGGGATTACAGGACAATTAATAAAAACACAGTCTCCATCTTAAATTGTCTCACATTAAGCAAAATGTAAATCTATGAACCCTATAACATCCAATTTCATTTTGTGTCCCTTAAGTAGTTCACTTTGACATTTGGGGAAATTTGCTTATTTGCGTTCCTGCTGAGAGAGAGATGAAAAGGCCAGTACTGCTCTCATGTCTGTACGGTTAGCATGAAGCTACAGCCAGCAGCTGGTTAGCTTGATTGTTTTATCCATACAGGTTTTTTCTTTATGGGGGTTTTGTTATTCACAATTTCCCAAAATTGTTATCAATATTGACAGATTAATTACATTTGATGGCATTAGTTTATTCAAAAGTGGAACGTCAGATTGAAAAAGTAATGAAATGTGAACCTTAAAACAAAGCAACATGTACTTGCGAACTGTCCTCACAGGTTGTATATGTTTACTTGTTCAACCAAGTGATTAACCTTGCTCTATTTCAATAATATAACAAGAAAAAAAGCTGCTCTTCTCACATGTTAATCATCTAAAGAGCCTTCAGATGTATAGTATCTCCTGTGGGAGTCCCAAACATTTATTCTCAGCCAAAATTGTATTAAAATGTAATAAAAGAATCTGAATCAGAACAGGTTTTTGCAGTATTTTGTGTATCAACCCCCAAGAAGTCTGCCAATAGAGAAAGTATAGTGTTTCCGTTCACAGAAGCTTAGTGCAAGAACTCTGTTGAATTGTGTACCAAGTTCACCTCAGCAGGGATGTGATCTGCCTTGTTCTGCTCTGATTCATTTCCTAGCAACAAGACACTTGTCAGCGTTAACCACAGGAGAATGTTTGACTTGTTTAAAAGGATTAAAGACATAAAAGAGAGAAAGGAGTGGAACAATGGAACACAACAACACAAACTGGGAAGTGAAATGAGGGCAGTACTGCCATGGTTGCCCGTCTGTGTGAGGGATTGGAGAGGATTGGAAAACCAAATCACATCATTTACATAGAACATCTCCCTCACCTTCCCTCTCTTCGTCTGACTCACTCCGTGTCTCTCAAACCAGCGCCAGCTGATGCCACCTTGTGCCGGAATGTAGTCACTGTAGCCCTGTTTCACTCGACACTGCAGAGTGAAACATATTGTTGTTTTGCTTCCTCATGAACAAACCTCGAACCCATTAAAAGCGCTGTCACATTTCTCCGCACCTGCTATTTCATCACGTGTCATTTCTGTTTATTCAGTTGCCTTCTTCACTTTTGGAGGACACATGAGAGCACTCAGCAACCAGCAAATCTGGTTTGTTACTTTAGTAAACACTGTTCATAGTATATGTCTGAGAAAATATCTAGGCACGTACTTCTGGCCAAGTAGTGTAGTAGTTGCAGTAGCAAAAGGATGGACACTTTACTTTATGCCCCCCTCCATTTAAACATTTAAACCAGTGAACACACTATAATGTAGTCATAAGGACATTTGTCGAGTGTTAGTCAACAATTAGAAGTTGTCCGATGTAGACATATTTTATAATATTACAGCTGTGTTTTACTATATTGACATTTGTATTCTGTTTATACAGCAGCCTCCACTTCTGACAAACTCGCAGAGAATTGTCTTCCATCGCTGTAGTTCCGCTCAGTTCTACAAAGCTTTCTTGTTTTTTTGGGGTTTCCAGTCCCAAACCCTGCTGTCATCATCAAAGCTCTGATAAATCCACCTGTACACTACCTGCCCAGCACCAAACAGCAGACAGACATAAGTAGTGACTAGCTGGTCAAGACAGTTAAGCATTTATTAGCTTTTTTTTTTCTCAGGAGTTGCTGACAGTTCTCTTCTTCTCCTCCTGCAGGAAATCGAGGAGTTCAGCTTCGTCACCCAGTTGGCTGGCCTCACCGACCACCTGTCTGTGGCAATGCGATTGGCTGTTTCCACTGGGGAAGAGGAGCCTTAGATTGACCACCTGAGCATTTTTCTAAAACACTGCCATGGGGGAATGACAGACACCCAGAGAAGAGAAGAAGAGATTACGAGTTTACAGATATGGAGCTGCTTGACAGAGACAAAATGCAGTTCTGCGAGAGGATTGGCGGGACGGCGAAATGGACAGGATGAATCACTGGAGGAGCGCTCAGTGGATGAATGGCTATAAAGAAGGCGGAGGAGAGCAGCAGCAGAGGAGTGGTATGAAAGGGAAAGACTCTGGTGGGGAGAGATAAGCAGGGGAATTCAGTTTAGAACACCAGAAAGATATTCATCTTCCTGGGTAAACCACCCACACACACACACACACACACTAAATACAGTAACACACAAACACAACTGATCGACATTTTGACTGTTGAATATCGCCTGGCCTCTCCAGTCTTCTCCTCCAACACTCCCTGTTGAACTGAATCCAGAGGGTTTTATTTACAGTGAATTGTTTTATGTAGCCAATTTACATACACTCCTTTTATTAGATCTGTTTTAGCTGTAGTGTAAGTATGTTTTAGTTTTTTTATGACTCTACCTTCAGGGACAGTTGGATCCTCATTCTTTAGTGATTGTGTATAAAAGAAAAAAACACATAATTGAAAAGATGAGAATGAAGCGTACAGCTACTGCCTGGCCTTTACACTGACTATCTGTGTCCTTGTGTTGTGCTCCTTCCTGAAAGGCTATTGGTCAGTTCCGCTGTCAGTCCTTAACCTTACTACTCCCACATCAGTCCCAGGAACCTCAACAAGTGTCTTTTTTTCTAAAAAAAAAAAACAAACAAACAACAAACAAACAAAGCTAGTCTTTCTAAAAGGAGAAAAATAATATGATACAATTTCTATTGTTGCCACACCACTTTTTATAGGGAGATTAAATGCCTATTTAATACTATATGGTATGTTTCTAAAAAGAGGGATTGTACAAAGAGACATGGCATAGGAGAAAAAGTGGTTTGTTTGATGCAGTGTTTCTAGCATGTTTTTCAGCCATGACTGGTGAAAATTTGACTTTGCGGATGCATGATAGGAAATGGTACCAGTTTACAACATTAATATAGAGGCTTAATACACTTGCTTGCTTGAGTCTGGCTGCTTGACAAGTCAAGACGCATTTTGCCCTGAAACACAGACTTACTGTATGCCAGTGTGGCATTTGTGCATGTGAGACTCCACCTTGCTGGTGACACTTAACACACATAAAGGTATGCACAGAAACATACTGAGGATTTACATATAGCAGATACACAACGATACACATCATGTACAGAGGGTGTTATAACATACCCTCTAGTGGCCATATTGGAGGTCTTCAACTCAAATGACAACATGTGACTTGGCTGTCTTTGACAGAGTAGATATCGTGAGCTTGTTAGCTAACAAACCACTGTAGCTATCTGGTTTAGCGAGCCGTCACTGTCCTGTAAGCATGTCTGATTTGTGTACTAGCTAACATACAGTATACAGCCTAGTTGTTGGTCTGAGCACAGCCAGTTGTCCAACGGATCACCGTGATGACAGCCATATTGTGACGCAACTGCAAAACCTCATAATACAGAAACATTTTGAAGACCTACAGGCTGCGCACACCCTGTACAATATGCCAAGTATAAGTACACACATTTGATGAAATATACAGATCTCAAGAAGTGCATAAGTAATACTACAATGCAACACAACTTAAGGTGTGTTCAGACTGAAAGCAAAACAACTTCCATTGATGCAAGTGAATTTCATTTTGCAAAATGTATATAAATATTTCAACTGCATTTATCCTACAGCTTTATGACTCCAATCCAAGAACAAACAGAGATAAGAAGAAAAGGATCTGTAAGGATCTGGGAGATAAGTCTATATCTTGTATGTATGTTATTAGCTACCAAAAGTTGACCCCTGCACAGTGTCTAGCAGTCAAATGAGCCAAATGCAAAAATTTGCTTCACCTTTAGTCTAAACACACCTTCCGAATTCTGCTCCCCTCACCTGTTACAGTATTGACACACTGCTCCTGCTGCTGGTTGGACAGCAATATACTGCAGAGATTACAACCTGTGGAAATGTTGTAATACATAAAATTGTTATTATAGCATAGTATTCACATTAGCAGTCAACTCCCAATTTGTAACAGACCATGGTCTCAAACAGGAGCTGGAACTTTGTAAAGAGCAGTCTTTGGTCAGTGTAACTTTCAAAAGACTTGTAGATGCTAATATTGTCCTTGTGTACCCTGTAGACTGTAGACCTGTTGGCCATGGGGCTCCCTGTGAACATATGCTGTGTTGAGTGATAGGCCACCACCATTATCTCAAAATTTGGAAAACAGCAGCTCTAAACCTACATTATCAGTAATCTTAAATGAGATGCAGCCAGACCTTACAGTTCTGTTTAAAAAAGTAAGCAAACTGACTTTTTACAGCAAAAACTTAACGTACGTAAGTTTGCTAACATTAGCCACCATGAGCTACTGGTCGCACCAGACCAGGTGTGAATTGAACTAAGGAAGGATGTGTTTTGTTACTTTTGAATTCAACTTTTATTTTTTAAGAGGACGTTTGTGTTATTTCTTCTTTCGAAAATGTACATATTCATGCTTTAAAAGAAGAGTTTGTTTTAGTAGCCTAGCGGTGGCCTCCCTATCACTCAACACTAGGTATGCTAGCGAGTTAGCAGGAAACTCCAGATCAATGATCTACTGGGAACACGTGGATCATAGTGGTGTCCCTGTTGTCATCAGTCAACATGGGATCAACTACCAAAATCATGTTGTATATTTCTTTTAGAGATGTGTGTAAAGAATCACTAATGTAGAAGCCTGTTTCTTTAAATAAAACATGTATTACAGTAACAGTTTAGGTTTTCCGATACTGTTTGATTTCCATGGTCTGCACGCTGAACAATGTTTACAACAGTTTTATGACCTGCCTGCCTTTGTCTTGGCACTAGAGAAGAGCTTTCCAAGTGTCAGTTTCAACACAGATGTGTGTGTATGTTTGGGCAGCTCATCGTATTGTGTTTTTTTCAATACAAATGTGCTAATTGGTGTTTCTCTGAACACACAGGATGGACAGTACAGTATGCGTTTACAGATGTGGTTTCAAGAGTATTCATCCTACTGCTGTGTGTGTGCGTGTGTGTGTGTGTGTGTGTGTGTGTGTGTGTACAGTTTGTGTGTTTAATACAGGAAACATGTTAGTTGTTCTGTTATGTTTGTTCCACTGCCATTTTTCATTACAGTATGAGTCCACAGGTCACCTGGCTGCTCTGACACTCACTCTGTCTCTTTATGACATATTATTATGATTATTATGACTAATATATTCTTCATATTACTAAGGTTTTTATTTGTGCTTTTTTCAATTCAAGTTTCACCATGTTTATAGCGAGTTACAGTAAGATGCCACTGTTTCCATGAGAATCTGCTATTAGGGTAAAATAAAGTTCTGGTTTGGAGGGATCACAGTGATGACAGTTCATTTGAATAACCTTTACTTTTCAACTCACCTATGTTATTACACAACACCTGAATACAATTCGTCTGTTAGCATGCAGAGACAGGGCAGCAAGCATCCAAACAGTGGATCATCTTCACGATGATTATACACCTTTGTGTTGTTTTAAAAAGTTGTAATGTGGAGGTAATTCATTTTATCATTTGAAGTCTATTTTGTTTACTTGTTCTACGTTTCTATTTTTGTATATTTTTAATAACAGACTGAGGATGGCGGGCATAGAAGCTAATTGGTTGATTAAAGGTGATGGTGAAGTTGTAAAGGCAAATTTCTGGTTTGTGTTGGTGTTGTATGTTCATGGTGAGCCTTATCCCTTATACAGAAGAAATATGTGGTGGGACCTTGACATTTCAGTCACTTAGGCACTCATTGAATTAAATATGGGAGGAAATGGGAACTTACCAGATGGATGGCAATCTAAGGTGAAAAATAAATACTTACTCACCCATGTAGTACTTATTAGGTGGGTGTAAGGTACAAAGTCGCTAACTTTTTGGTGCTGGGCAGGTAGTGCATGGTGGGATTTCTTCCGCACTCATTAACTGGTATGCTGCTTAGCAATAGCAGTCTAATAAGTGTGTACCGGTTACAATTTGGGATGAAATCAAGATGTATCATTTCTAACAACTTTGCATCAGTAAAATCTGATTTATTTATATACAATTATGAGTCGAGTCCATAGACTGTATAGAAGAAGTGGACGTAGTCATCGTGACGTCACCGGATGGTTGAAGTCTCTAGTTTGACAGTTTGGCTGACACCATCTTGATTTTTTGCAACCAGCGGCACCGACTGTGGCCATATTTGGACGAGACTGTGGCACTTGCTAGCTTGGTTAGAAAAGTGCATCTGTAATTTACTTTAATTTTTTTATCTTCAACATGAACAGCCAACTCCTAACAAGCTTTTTCAACGGCACTGGTTTATTTATAATTTACACAGTGCAGCGGACATGAGTCACTCTAGTCTGACAGGTCGACTTCACAAGGTAGTCCCGCCCTACATCATCCCCAGCTTTATGGTCTATTTTTCTCTGCATGGGACCATAATTTACTAAATGAACATCATGCTGTGTTGAAGAAGACTTGAAACTAGCGACTGAGACCATAAACTCATCAGGAAAGTGTTTACTGATGTGATAAATTAAGTGGGAAGTAGAGTCACTTTGACATTATTTCCTAATGGAACCGGACTTTATATTATAACCAGTGGCGTCGCCCCCTGCTGGCTGTTGGAATGATCGTTAATGTATCGGATCTTGTCAATGCATCGAGATCCATATTGCATCAGCCTCAGTGATTGAGATGTACAACTCTAGTATATATACTGTTTAGCATGGAATGAAGGACGTCTCTTGCTGTGGAAGTAAATCATGTTTTTTGTTACCTTACAGGATTGCCTACCACTATAACAAATATCACGCTCGCCTGAGTAACTGAAAGGTCAGGGTTCTATCATGTAGCCATTTAGGATCATGATACATAGTATGACGGCCCCACAGAGAGACAAACTAAATGGAGAACCTCGCAGTGTTTGAAGAAGTTTTCTCTGCCTCATGGTTCTGTTGCTAAGTGAAGCAGTCAAGCAACCAGAATTAACAAGGCATGGTCTCTGAATTATATATAAGCCATCACAGCCTCTGTGGAGCTACACACTCACCACACTGACCCCCAGCACTGCCAACACAACGAGCAAACACAGTACAGGTTGACATGTAGGAGTTAAGAAGGAGCAGCTGTGGATGAAAATGTTGCTCTCCAGCCAGGGCTCTTTTTCTCACTAGAGGTTTTTCTCAAATTATTGTCATTAACTGTCATTAATGGAATACACAGGGAACTCAACTTATGTGATGAGAACGTAGGCACCAAAATAAGCTGTGTATCCCCAGTTCTGAATGCAAACACTTTAGCAAATATTTTGTTGCTTGATAATCAAACATGAGCACTAACACATATTTCAGCTAACATGTCATTCTGTCTTCTCTGTATAATTCACAATGTATTACAACTAATAATCAGCCAGGACTCCTGCGTTATTTTGGTGTCTATAGTCTAAAGCAAACTAACCAATGGGTCAATTGCTGACAAATATCTGTTTTGAGTATTTTGTAACATTTCTGATCATCAACCACTGTCTGCTCAAGTCCAGGACAGATGTATTCTGCAGTTAGCCAGGGCACAGCAAGCCCTTAGAGTGAAGCTCTAAGCTTTCGTACAGCATGTACTGTAATAATGCTTCAGGCTTGTAGTTTAGAGTTGATGCCTCACGTTGCTATACTTTTCGGGTTGGATTTTCTATGATTTGTCTCTGTTCATGTTTTTTAAAATAGATTTTTGTCTTTGGATGGGGGTTGTTTCTCGGTGGGGTCAACTAGCTTGGTCTCTGTAATGTTGCTGAGGGATCAATAGCTTTTCTCTTTCTAAGCTTCTTCAAAAAACTGCTTCTTTTCTTCTGCTTTTTAAAAAAAACAAAGGAGTTTTCCCCCTTTATCTGTGTCTTTGTGTCGTTATTTGAGCTCTGAGCATTCAGGGGTCTTTCACTGGGCTGCAGTCAAAGCTTGTATGGACATAACTAGTCAATACAACAATCAATAGTGACAATAATACTAGTACTATTGAAGAGCTGAAGATGCACAGCAGTGCTTCTCTCCTGGGGGCCAGCTGGTGCAGAGCAGAACAATGAAGGCCTAACCAAAAAATATTCCAGCACACATCAGCATACCAGAATAGACACTAATATTGATAGATGATTAAAAACAAAGCAGTAAACTATGTCATCAACTATGATCTGGATGACTGAGAATATTCACTTCATCGGATTCACTCTGTGCTTGATTGAGCAGGTGCTGTCGCAAAGGATCCAACATATTCACATTCTCCAACACAAATGCACTTCAACAATAGGCAACAGCAACTACAATTCCACCACACAAACACATGTAACAGCACTGCATTTCCATTTCCATAAGATAATGAGATACAGTAAATGTCAGAGATAGTCCTAGAAGACTTAAACATTATCAAACAAGATTGGGGTCTGATATAATGTGACCTGTCTTTGTATATCTGCCCAAATACTACTGCAAAGGTTTTACTTTAATAGGGGTAAGAATATACTCTGTTTTTACTATCTGTGTTTAGAGGACATGAAAACTAATTGGCTCTTCAAGAAGGTGCATGGAAATATAGAAGTGGTAGATGTACATTTTGCTCTAACACATGATACAAAGACGTTTTGCCACCCTCACACAGGTAAAAATTGTAATATTTATATACTTTCTTTTTAAAAAGAGTTTATTAATCGTATTTCTTCACATACATTAACTAAATAGCTGGAGCTTTTATCTAAAGTGACTCACAATTGCTATTGCCTCTGGGGGTCAAGTGTCTTTCTCAGGGACACATTGGTGAATGTGTCACAACAGAAATCACCAAAGGGATGTGTGTTATTCACTGCGTCGTCACCTCATGTCACCCATATGCTGAAGTGTCCATGTGGCTTTATATGTGGAGACCAAACAAAGCGTAATCTCAAACTGACAACAGCTAAAACAGCTATAAGAAATGAAAACATGGATCATGCAATTGTGAGGCACTACAAGGAAAGAAACCACGGTTCTGCTGTCTCACTTAAATACACAGGGATCGAGAATCACTCCTAATTCTACGGGTGGCAATATAAATCTGTTATTGAAAAGGTAGGCATATTGGATATATTCTTTCTACTCTTTAGCTTCACATGGGTTGAATGGGGTATTAGGCTTGAGCCCGTTTCTGAGCCCAACTTACATTGTTTCTCTGTGTCTACAGGTGACCTCGTATGAAGGTAAAGTTGAGCCACTAAAAAACTTTGGCACAACCTGCTTTCCCTACCCTCCCTTGTTAAGACAGGTATATTTAACATACATTCTACTATTGACCTCCTCCTACTTTTGTAATGTATTATGTATTTTGTATAGTACCCGTTACTATTTCTATTGATTTGATATGTATCTTGATATTTTGTTTGAGTGCACTTGTGTAGATTGTGAATCAATGGGATTCTCCGCTAATCCATTACGTTGTTCTTATTCTGCAAATAGTTGTATTATTTTTCTCTATTCTTTTTAATATTCTTATATAACTTGCATTTTCTATTCCATATTTATATATTTCTACATGTATTCATGTCAACTGTATGTGTAGCATTTTATCACCAAAGCAAATTCCTCATATGTGTAAAGCACTACTTTGCAATAAAGCTCTATCTGATTCTGATTCTGATTCTAATCAGCACCTGATAATTCAAAGGCACACCTCATGATCAAGCGCAAAGTGAATCTGATGATGCTGCAATGTGATGCTCCTCTGTTTTTAATGTAATCTTTCAATAAAATAGTGTCTATTCTAAAGTCCTCGTGTGTGCTGGAGTAGTTTTTAGTTAGGTCTACTAGTACTAGTGACTCGTGGTCAGTGAAAACACTGGTTGATATTGACGTTTCACTCAACTCAAAGGGCACCATAGAGTGGGTTGTGTATGGGTGGGATGTTTCTTCTTTTTTTTTCAACATGGTCACATTCACAATATGAATCACTGGGTCTAGGCACACAAGCGAGGCTGCTATTTGAATACAACATTGAGGGGAGACCAAAAACTAACTTGTTTGTCTCTCTTAAAGGACAAAGAATGAAGAAGTGAAAGAAGCTTTTAAGGAGTTCTTCTGCTTTTGATGAACACAGTGAGAAATCTAGCACTAAAAATTTACATAGGGTACTCTGTCCAAGTGTGGAAAACTCCCCTTACACTGAAACTGAAGTCAGATTAGCAGTATGTGACTCACACGAAATCAGTGGACTGAAAACATGTCAAACGGTTTTGTTTTAATTTCCAAATATTTCCCAGTACATTTAAACATCCTATTCATTTGATTCTCAGAGACAGCCAAAAAGCACCTGAACAAGTTTACTGTTTACTGTTTTACCTTTTATGCTGCGTTATTATAGGCGTCTGTTTCACTGTGTGGTCTTTGATCATTTTATTGTGTTTCAGTTAGGTGAAGGTTCCCATGGGAAAGTAGCTCATGAGAGGGTTTTCTTATCTGACTGTCCTTGATAGGCCTTCATCTTAGGACATTTGTTCCCTACTCCCTTTCTCCCTAAGACAGCTGTGTAATACCTTTGGAGTATAAAGTCACCTGTTTCTTCGCTGACTCTGCAGACTGTTTGCACTCTGTATGTTTGTCTGACCCTATGCAAAGAATAAAACCCTTAAAGACGTCTGGATTGAATTCTTTATTTCAGAAGACTCACTAAAGGTTGAATTTCCATTACAAGATGCACTAATATTTACACGAACAACTGGTTAAAGGTCTTAAAACCCACTGTACTCTACCTGCTCAGCATGAAAACAGAAAAACAAAGTTAGCAACCAGCTGGTGAACACAGTGGAGAATTTAGCAGCTAAGGGTGACCAAAACAGCTAAAAGGAAAGTGAATGGTTGCACTTCTATCAAGTGGATTGGCACACATCTTGAGTGAATGCTAATGTTGCTCTATGCATGCTGCATGTGTAAATATGCACATCTACTATAAAGGTTCACTATAATATGTCAGTGTTGTGTTTAGAACTTATTGCACTGCCCACAAGTAAGCAAAAAATTATTAACACTGCCCTGAATTGTAAATTTTGGACTCAAAATTCAAGAATTTTGGAGAATCAAAAACGTTCTTTCAGCTTCAGCTTTTTTCTGTTTAAGGAAACTGACACTTGAAGTAACGACACAGTAAGTAGACAAAAGTAAGTAATTGTGTTGAGCTCATTTAACCTGTCTCCACTGCAAATCCACCATTACTGAATTGAGCATGGAAGTCCTTGTATTTTACCATTATAATTATTTTTTGTGCTACACTTTATTGATCACCGAGGAGAAATGTGTTATTTGCATTTAACAAATCCTAACTTGGAGCGACTTCCACTGGCTCCCCATGGCCTCCTGGATCAAATTCAAGTTCACTAATTACCTGTTTTATTTACTTTATTTTATTTATTTGATGAACCGTATGAATTGAATTCACAACACACACACAGATTACGTTCCTTCTCGGCCACTGCGCTCCCCCAACGAACGCCGCCTGGCTCTGCCATCCCTTCACACAAAGCAATCTCAGTCCCTGTTCTCATCTGTGACACCACGATGGTGGTATCGCAGATGAGAACATCAGAGCAGGGGCATCCCTCTCTAACTTCAAGAAGCTCTTCAAAACGCATCCTTTCCAACACTTCCTCTTATAACACCTCTAGACCCTAACCACTAACATGCACTTCCTGTGCTAGTCTTCTTCTTTCTGCTTATAATTCTCTTGTATTGATTGCACTATTTGTCAACTCTTACTTCTTCCCCTAGGTATTTACCCTTTTGATGCCGTACGCGCTAATAGCTCTTACTAGTATCTATTGTCACTCTTACTTTACTCATGCTTGTACGTTGTTCATCAAATGTAAGTCACTTTGGACAAAAGCGTCTGCCAAATGTACATGGAGCACTGGCAGGCCATTGTGCAGCGTCCGGGAACAGTTACAGGTTCAGGGTCTCGCACCTTCAGTAGTATTCCATGCTGGACAAGAACCAGGCATCTTTTGGTTCCCGAGCCGAGCCCACACAGACTGAGCTAAAGCCGCACATTATGTCCAACTTCTAGCTTTTTTTGAGCTTTCAACAGCATGGTCTTCATCCATTTTCAATGCTGCTGAAGACATAGACTAACTTGAGATTATGCTCTCATGGAACCTAATTGAAGAACTGCATCTGTAAAAGACTGATTTTCTTGTCCAGTCGAGTGAACAGCTTTAGTTATGTTATTTCAAGACACAACAAATCTGAAGTGAAAGAATGAAACAGTTGGATGGCTTAATCTCTGTACGTGAAAGTAACTGTCCAGTCTAGATCCTTTCATCCCATCCAGCTGCTGCAAGGTGCGTTCACACATGACTGGTTCTGACCTGGCAGGATGATTACTATGACTAAATCATGCAAAAATATAGACAGCTATATGAGTCAGACAGACAGTAAGCCTAGAGATGTTCTGATTTCCTCACACAAATATCAGCTGCTGTAACCCCTTCAAATTAAATTCTGTCTACTTGTGAGCCCACTTCCCAGCCTTGCCTTAGTGTGACAAGGAGTTATGAGCAGTTCAGAAATACTTTTTCCTTGTAAGATTACTTGATGTTGGAGAGATTAACCTATCCTGTAACTTACAAGAAAAATGAGAGAAAAATCCAATTGTCTTTCTAGTCCTTTGGAAGCGGAACACCATGAAGATCAGTTTACTCGTTATTGGAGTTGTACTCATACTCATCCTTTAAAAACTGATGTATAATCTTGTCTGTGCCTCTGGAGGAGCTTTGTTAAGTCAGAGAAAACCGCCTCTTTAATCTTGTATCCTGAGAACCCATTGAGGGTGCCGAACCGCAGATTGGGAACCACTGTTTCAGTGCAAACTGTGAAAATGAATGATCATCCTCGTATTGAAGATATAATTCTTATCGTTATGCAGTAATCCTTGTGAAAACCCTTGAGAATTCCCCGACTGTTTTTACTGCTGTGCAGTTTAGCTTCCATTGTAATGAAAGTGTAATGAATGCAAATCAACTAAGTCATTCCCGACTGCAACCATTACCTATCTCATAGCTGCACATAATTAAACTGAAGCAAAATGTTATAATATGTGGAAATTTAAAGTTGGTATTTTGGACAAAAAAACAATTAAATTTTTTGTAGGGAAAGGGGCTGATTAATTAGATTAGATTCATAAATCTGTTTGCACACACTGTTATACACAACCTATAAGTGGATGTTCTGACTTGTTTTTATCCACTTCGTAGGTTTCTTCATTGTTGCACACAATAGCTGATATTCATGGCAAACCACACTGCAGTGAGCTGCTGCTACAATTGAAACAACACTTAACAGCTATAAAAGGTCAGTGATGTCAGAAAGAAAAAGAACCCCATGTGACAGAAGCTGTGATAGTTCCGTCACATTCACACAAGCAAGGTGTAAATAAAGGGAAATTACGTTTGAAAAGAAAATATACTTCCTCATTGCCTCCTCTCGCCATCGTAGTCACTGTATTTAGGGAACTGAAATGAAAAAATATACACAAAAAGGCCCACGCATGAAACTCCCACTCCTGGTAAACCCCCACAGACAGATAAAGGTGAGAGACGCTGTGACACGTCATAGTTAAGTCCCAGCACGGAGCTCGGGGTCTTCCCCTGGCTGCTCCTGAGCTGTATAAATGTGGAGGCAGATGGAGTACAAGTTCACACAACAGAGAGAACAGGCTGATACAGCTAAACTGAGATTTTCACCTACTGCTGTACACGCTCCCACACTTCAGAATGGCTGCCCCTCGTCTCGCTCTGTCCGTGTTTGTGCTGATGCTGGCTGTCATCACTCTGAGCGAAGGTAAGAAGGAGCTTGACAGTAATACATTCAATCAGTGTGTGAGAGAGGTGAAGAAATGGGATCTTATTTAAAAATGATCATTACATTCATGCATCTGATTTGATGGATAATGTATGACTCATCAATATGTACTGTATTGGAAGAGGTTAACCTACCTGCTGAAATTGTAAAACAGTTGGGTGGGCTCACAACTTGACAGCTTTCTAACGGCTGGGGTCATGAGTATTTCTGACCCTAAAAACAATTCATTAATATGTTGAGACCCATCACCAACTCTGCAGTTCCAGACAGCTCTATGGAAATTGTTTAGCATCTTTTAGCTCATTGTTTTGGTTGAATCTCACTTCTAGCATAAGTTTCATCTCCAGCAGCAGCAGACAGCTGTTTTAAGTGAAAAGGCTCTGATAAACTGATTCTGCTCTACCAAACAGCATAGAGTGTGACTATTGGATTTACATTTATCATGTAGCTGTAAATATGACTTCAAATGAAAGCTAATGATTGTCTGTGTTTGCTGGATGTGTAAATATCAGCTTTATAAGGTGATAATAAGTCTTGTTCTGCTGCCCCTTAGGGGCCAAAAAAAACTTGCAGCTTTAACGGTTGATTTGATGGCTCCAGCAACATGTACACTAGCTGTCTGAAGGACTTTGATATTGATCCAGTCTCATTTTTAAAGAGAATCCACCCTATAATAGGACTAAATGTTAATATGATTAAAGCTGCACATGTTTAGATTAGAATATTGAATGGCTTACTTACCTAAACTGAACCGGTCCTAATTTAAACAGGAGAGAAACACAGGTCAAGAGCTTTTACGTATCACAATGGAACATCTGAGCAATGCCACAATATCCTCAACTAAAAAAAAAAACAAACATTATCAGATTTCCTCTTAGGCAGGCCCACAGGAAATTAGAAAAGGGAACAGAAAAGGAACAAGCAGATGATGTCACAGAGTCCGTGTTTGTTGCAAACTGTTAATTTGTTCCCGTCTGTTGGCAGGTCTGCGTGGTCCTGGACCGAAGAGATGCTGTTTTAATTTCAATGAGAAACCGGTGCCTAAAGAGCGAGTGGTCAGCTACATCAGGACCAGCCAGCAGTGCTCCAACCCTGCCATCTTGTAAGTACACAACCGTAGAGAAATATATAACCAACCTCACTGTATCGCCTCATAAATGCATTGAGCATGACCGTCGTGTTTATGTGTGTGTTCAGGTTGAAGACAGTGAAAGGTCGTCAGCTGTGCGTCAGACCTTCAGCCCCTTGGGTGAAGGAGCTCATCAGCTCCCCGAACACCAAATCTGTCCTGGGAGAGACGTCCAACCTCTAATCATGGCAACACCATATCCACTCTCAGCGCCTCCTATGAAAAAAATTGTGCCAGTTAATGTGTAGTGGTGCTGCAACTTTTCAAACTATACCTTTCAAAGAAGCGCCGACTACAAATATATTACTCCACCATAAGATCTGCAGGGGGCGATCATAAGCTAAACAGCAGCTCTCTCTATCTATATGCAAAACAGATGCTATGTATTGTCATATTTTGTAACATACTCATGGATACAATTTGCTGAGATGAGACACAAAGCCTACATACAATGTTACATTTTTTTCCTTCCATATATAAGTAAAAATGGCAGTTTTAAGTTGCCTTTCTTTTAATATTGACATGTAGACCATATTTTTATTTTTACATTTTCAACATTTCTGATTTTTGTTTTAGTAAATGGAACAATAGCTATAGTTTTAGCTCAATACAACACTCAAACTCCGACCGTCAACACTGTGAACTGCTGTTATGATGTAATTTGAATTGACTTACAGAAACTACATTCACTGTAAAAGAGCAAAGCCTCCCAACGCCACTTGTTGTCATCAGTAGAGTATAAGCTATGGGTTACTCAACTATTTCTACAATGACCCACTGTGAGCTCTTTTGCTTGTTTCTGAACAAACTAAAGTATTTTTTTTTCTGTTTACAATTATTTTTTGAACTCAGTGACTTACTACAGATAAGTACTGCAATTTGACAAAAATAAATATTTATTTCTGTATGCTTATGCTACTAATTTGATTCTCTTGAATAAAGCAAGACAATATGTCAATGTTTGGCCTTGTGTTTCTCTGTCTTCTTGTCAGGGTCGAGTTTCCACATATGCTGGTATTTATTTAACACTTTCCAAGTGTTCATTTCCTTTATAAACTAGGATGTGGAACCATAAATGATGAAGAGATGGAAAAAAAAATACCATGTGCTGCAAATTGGCTTGAATCACAACTTTTATCAAAATCTCATATTGCTTTTGATCTTTTCATCTGTCTTTTCAAGGCCAACGCTTTTTTATTTACTCCTGAGCAGGTTCCTCACAAAGCTGTAAGCTTTACATGTGCTGGATTTTGGATCTGTTTGATAGGGTACCTCAGCAAGACTGAAGTAATGAGATTATGTCTCCTAAGCCAAACATCCATTTCCTTAAAGCCAGACTACGGACCTTTTTGAAGAACAAATAACATATTCTTCTTCTTACAAATGAAAAGTTGAAATCTTGAGCAATAATACTCCCTTACTTCAATACATGCAGGGGTTTTGTCTCTAAAGTCTTACTTGGTCCTTTAGGACCAGTAACTTCTGGGGGCAAATGTCTGCCGATGTTAACTTTAAGATACATATTTCTGTGTAATTATTGCATCACTTTGCTGACTTTATGACTCTTCTCTATTTATGACACTGTCCGACTACATTTTAGCATTTAGAATTATTGTAATTCCCACAGTGGCTCCTTCTCAGCAGATAGTCTTGATCTCATTATTATTACATACAGTATATTAGGCCTATATATTAAAATAAATGGTATCGATATGTAAATATTCCATTTGTTCACTTTTTTAAATACTTTTTATGCAAATGTAAATACATTTAAACACATGATATAGTGTACTGGACAGTACAGCACTGACAAGTTCAATTCTGTAAATATCTGATGGCCATCTCTTCCAAAAGTCACATTAATCACAGTGCAGGAGTTATGTAGATATAACTGACCTGGTTAAGAACAATTTGCTGGAACATCTGGTAGCAGTTGCTTTTCTTTCCACTGGAGTGCGCCAGTAGACCTTTTTGTGTCTTATCCAAGTCACTACAAAGACTGATCATGAGTGCATGCATTCCTTTGAGATTGTTCAATTAATTGTTATTTGTTATTAACACTTCAGTGACCAGACATTTAGTGCCTTTAATGTTGCTTCCAATGTTGACATGTTGATATACTCCAGGAAAGAGATGTAAGTAAATGAAATATAATACCTATTTCACTTTCACTGCTCCCTTTGTTTGAAGGGTATGACATTTACCCCCATAGCCTAGTATGTACACTGAAAATAAGACCCCCACTGAACTAAGGATGTCAATTGTAATTGTACTTTGCACTAAGGTAGTTTCTTTTATTGCTATTTTGAAAAGCTGAAATATGATAATGGAGTTTTTGTGCATATTTGAAGCTGAACTGATAAATTTAATGCCATGCAAATATGAGCACATCTTGAGTTTAGAAAACAGCAATTATTGCAGCCTTTTAGAAAGACAAAAATATAGGGGGGGACCACTGTCTGGCCAGCGCTTGTGGGAAAGCTTGCTTTAAAGGGGGACTTAACATAACAGGTCTTATGTACTAAAACCAAATAGATCAGGAATTGTTCTATCCATCTTTTCACACTCGGCGTTGTTGTATCTTTTTGTCAGATGGTTTATACTGTAGTACAATTGTTGCGATACATTTCGTCTTATTGTGAAATTCTCAACCGGAAGTATGATACGGTCTTTCTACACATTTTGTGCACGACACGCCCCCTGTGATAACGTCCTAGATTAACGTGTTTATTATAACTCAAAAAATGACGCTTTTCTAAACCTAACCCAGTAGTTTCTTTGTGCTTAAACCTAAGCCAGTAGTTTCTTTGTGCTTAAACCTAAGCCAGTAGTTTTGGTGCTAAACCTCACCAAACCGCCACCGTTTCGAGGGCGTGTCGTGTAGTAGGCGTGTCCTGCAGTGCTGCGGATCCGCACGTAGCGCTGCCTGGGAAAAACGGCCGTTGGAGCGTTTTCCCTCACGGTGCTAGAGCTACATTTGCTAGTAGTACCCGTCAGCGGCCATATGTAATTTAACCTCATTCATTCATTTTCAGACGCATTTTGCTTGTTTTTATTTACACAAACGGTTGGTTTTTAGGGTGGAAAGCTGCGTGTTTGTGTCCGCTCCGTTATTCTTTTGGACGTTTATCAGTTTATGCCTCGGTGACTGTCCGTTGCAGGCTGGGTGGTGACAGCACAGTAACGTTACAATGATCGAGCGACCAGAGACTGCGGTTCCCAGCATCGCTGTAAGTACATTTGTCTTCGAAATACATCAACGTGCAGCTGTTGACACTGCTATTGTTTTAGATAGAATAATATCTAAAATCCCCTTCGGAGTAACCTATTCACCCCTAGTTACTGACCTTTATATGGAGACAACTGCACACCACTCTCCTTTTTTTTTTTTTTAGGACATTTGCATATCTAACGGTACAAAGACATATGATTGAATACACTATCACTCACTCCTTCTTTCAAATGTAGCTATGTGGTCTGATAACTTCGGCGTGATGGGATCGACCAAACAACATATATTTCAGTATGCCATTGTTTAAAAAAAAAAAAAACGAGTCACTCCTCCCTCCCCTGTGGATCCTGTTCTGGTGAAGCGAGGTTGTGGGTGGTGAAACGATACCATCAATTGGATTTTTGTTGTAATTGATGATGTTTGGTGGATACAGCTCGTTGGGAAAGAGATGGGCAACGGGAAATTCCTGTTTAGACGTGTTTTCACACCGATCTTGGCAATTTTACGAATATCGGCCCAGATGAGATTTGCACTCCTGTGCCAAATCCCCTTAAGAAATCCCCCACGTTAGACCACGCACGATATAAATTCCCCCGAGAATGTGTGTATTTAATTAAACATTGCTTGTATATATGACGTGGTTGTTCCCCAGATTTCACGGATGTACCTGTTAACAGTCTTCCTTAAACTGCTCAATTGTTAAATGGAGTTTGGTGTGACTGTCCACACACCCGCACTTACGCAAGAAGATGTTAGTTGACATGTTGGCTGGCTTTCTTTGTTTAGGGCATTTTGTACAGACACTTAGATTCGTCTATGAGTGATTACTCAATACACACCACACCACACACATAGTGGGCATACACAGTATATCAGTGTGAGAGAAAGTGAAGGAGCAGTGGGTGCAATGTGCTGCTAAAAATAACATAAAGAAGAAGAAATTACAGCAGCACTGTTTTCGAATGATTTCTGTCCTCCTTCTGTAGTGTTAAAGGATGCAATATTCATTACATAATTAATATTCAATATGTAATAAATGCACGTTTAAAACAGTGGATAGAAGCAGTGAGAGGGCATCAGCTGCTGAAAGCATGGGGGGGGTGGACTTACACAATACAGATGATCTCAGTGAACCAGGCAGCTACTATCGCCACTGGCTGGACTGGGGGAGGGGTTAACATTCACAGTATAGAGGACTGACTAGCCCTCCTCTCTCTCATCCCCCCATTACTTCCCTCTTTTAAGTCCTATGCCTGTTTTTCCTCAGTTAGTCACATCTTATGAAAAAGAACCAGATTAATCATAATGCTTTTCATAAGGGGCAAGTGCCAAGTGCCAAGACCGCATTTTGAATATTATAGTGATACTGTAATGGATACAATTATTGATAAGCTGGAAATGAGATGTTTCAAATTGTTTTTTGTACACAAACCTCATTGCGTTCTACAGACTCACGGTCACTGTGTTTTTCAACCATGCACACATGAACATGCCTGCTGTATGTGTTTGTATTCACACACTGTTTTACTCATGAAGTGCAGCAAGAGTCTCACCTGCACACACACACAGCTGTTGTTTTAGCTGAACACTGACAGCCTACAGTCATAACTTCTTCCCAGTACCAACCAACCAACCAACCAACCAACCAACCCGGTGAGTTACATTACCTGTGCTACCCACAGTGCGGCTGCAGGGAGATGGACAGACCATCGGAGGTGGCACCGTTTATGTAACACATGCATACTCACACACACAAAACTTGTATGTGGGTGGATCAAACATGGAAATGGTGGAAAGTGCTTCAGGCTTGTTCAGGGTATTTAGTTCTGTTGTCGAGCTGCACGCATCGCAGAATATTGATGAGGCGAATAGATTGCTTCCTTTTCTTTTCCCACATTCATGGCATTTTATTGTCTTGTTTGTTTAATTGTCCAATGGTAGTAATAAATGGTAATGTAAGGAGTCCTCCTAGAACTCCATAGATGTGTTGGTAAACCTGGGTGACATGGAATACTGGTGACTTTGACACCCTCCAAATAGTCCAGAATATCCTATTTTAAAAGAACAACATTAATTGTAGCCTTCAAAAACCTAAAGGCCTAGACCACTTTATGTTTTGTGTTGCTAGGAAACATCTTTCCAGGCCGTTTTGTGTTTGTTATTGTGAAAGATATTGGGCGAAGCATTGTTATGAATGATGAGTCAACGCTGATACACAGACTTGCAAAAGACATAGGCCTACAGTATGGCCAAGAATCTGCCGACAGTTAAACATTACATCCCAGCCATGTGGGACTTTTGAACGTCTCACTTTTCGACTCTGCTGGGAACGTTTTTCACAAGATTTGGAGCCTGGCTGCAGGGATTTGCTTCCATTCAGCCACAAGGTCCAACACTGATTTTAGACGATAAGATTCCAGATCATCACAGCCCAAGATGTTGGCTGGGGTTGAGGTCAGGGCTCTGCGCAGGCCAGTCAAATTCTTTAACACAAGATCATGGAAACCATTACTTTTTAGACCCGACTTGTTGCTGCAAAGCTGGAAGAACACTGTTCTCTAAAATTTTATTGTACTGTAGCATTAATGTACATCTTAATTGGAACTAACCAAACCACGAAAAACAGCATGAAAACAGAGGCTCACAAAAGTATGATGGCGTAGGTGACAGCGTAGGCTATGGGGCTACGCAGAGGCTACGCCGTCGCCTGACGTGCACCTCCTCCATCTATCCATCCATCCATCGTCAACCGCTAATCCTGCGTACAGGGTCACGGGGGGCTGGAGCCAATCCCAGCTGACATCGGGTAAAAGGCCTTGGACAGGTCACCAGTCCATCGCAGACGTGCACCTTCTCAAAAATGTAATTACACGTCGAGTCAGTGTGGACCGTAAGCACTGAGATTGGTCGGGTGGGTAGCCTCGCAATGCCTCCGAGCCGACCGGAAGTGCCCCGTGCTTTGTAGTAACTTTTACTAGCGGCCAAAACGGCGGCTGTAACACAGTGGATCAATATATATTTGAGCATCACAACCCGAGCGAAATGACTCGTTTCACTATCAGAATGTGATCCATTTGGTTGCTAACATTTGAAAAAAATACAATTATACAATTTTACCCCCATTCGCGTTAGGCGGAGTTAGCCTGCTCGGCTGGCAAAGGTCAACACAGTGGATGCTGTAGCGCTACTGCCGTAGAGTTTGGAAGTGTAATTGCAGAATGACAGACAAGTAAATGCGTGTAAATCAAGCTTTAGTGCTAAATTAAATGACATGTCGAGATAGATAAATCTTGCAGTGCAAATTAGTCTGACGTTTTCTTTAAGTATGGATTTGGACTGGAGCTGGGTCAGTGGCATGTTTCTGGTGATAGAAGTATGTTTATGTGAGTGTGGACTCTCTCTGGGTGAGACTGGTTTGGGCGGATGGGTCCTTGGCTGGAAACATTCAAGACTCCGACGTTGGAGTTGTTTTAAAGCCCTGCTGTTTTAAAGCTTACAGAATATAACTTCCTGTTATCTAATGACTTCACGTTCTTGGCCATACAAGGCCTCAACTTGTTGTTGTCAGACGTTTTCTTAGAGCCCATACAAATTTGCTAAATTTGAAAATGTTCGACTTTCCATTTACACCAAGCCAGCGTTTCTAAACAGCGAAACGTTCTCCTTAGCAGTGTTGGACAGCAACACATTATTGACACGTTACAGTAAGGTCATAACCTCTTCAGTAGTGAGTAGTGTTAGGTATTACAAATTTAGAATGTACATAACAGATACTAATCCCAGCCACACTCCCTTACCAAGAGTTGGATGGGAGGTTGAGATCAGAGAGGTGATGTTGGTCTGGGATGTATAAGCTTGGCAAGCGGGCTGGAGGTGTAGGGAGGCGGTTAGTCTCAGCCAAAACAAGAAGAATACACCTTTTATGATCATTCTGAAGTTGTCTTATTTACACTTATTTATGATTTCTTCTCAGCAGGCTTGCTAACATTAGGCTCTATGCATTGAACTGGAGGGTGTGGGAGGACGGAGTATCAGGAGTGCTACTGTCACCCGGGCTAAGCTAGCTGTGAATGGTCAGTTACAGAGTGTTGCATCATGTGACACCCATAACGCACAAAAGATGCATCATACAGAAGAAGTAGTCCAAGTACAGTTCCATGATTTCACAACGAAGGTTCATTCTGTGTCTTTATTTGGGAGTTTGAATTGGCCCTGACTTCAGCTGCAGGGACTTTTAAACCCCCTCTTTCAGCAGACCTATGAGCGCAGAGCTGCACTTCTCCATCAGCACCATGCATGACAAAGCCCGAGAGGCCACTCACAGGCAGGCAGCCCAGCAATCAATTGTGTTTGCCTCACGTAGCGTGCAGGACAGTGCACAGTGATTGGAAGGGGTTGTTATCTGACAGCAGGCTGGGAGCTAGAGAGAGGCAGAGGGAGATGAGGAAGAGAGACAGGGATGAAGAGATACCTCGGTGGTGAAGAGAGAGAGCACCTGGAGAGCCTGGCCTGGCTGTGATCCGGTCTGAGACCCGCTGCCTTCACCACGACCCGTGCTACGTGAGGGACAGGATGGACGTGGTTCACGTAGGAGATTGCATTTGTTTTTGTGTTGCCTTGATTTTATCCACTTCACTTTGCATTTGTGCTTTGAGGAACTGATTGGCTTCTTTTATTGGCTTATATTACCTTTCTGTGTTAGTGTACTCGTTTGGTGGATTTTGGCTGGGTTGACTCCAGTTCCTCTTTCCAGCCTCGTCTGGGAAATCCTGTTATTTGTCTCTCGCAGCGTTTCTAATAAGACTCCACTAACAATCGTGATATTAGTCCAATCAGAATAAAATGCCTCTTGTAACCACCTCACTCGGAAGAAACAGATTGGAAGAAATTTTCGGCCGGGTTGAGAGGCGTGGTGGAAACCTTTTGATAATGCGTTCAACAGGAAAATATAAGAGCCTAATAACCATGTGGATTGAACAATTAGGCTTCAGTGAATGTTTTTCAATAATGATGTAAAAAATGATTGATCTCCCTAGTGTCGCAAATATTATCGCAATTGTGATATCAGTCAAAATAATCAAAACATTGGATATTTTTTCACAATAAGAATATTCTGATGCTTGTAAATGTAAACACATCTTATCGGATCACTTTATTTAGCGTCCATGCAAACTGTTAAGTTGGGACATCTAAACAGAAGTATTTCACTTGGGTTAAAGAAATATTGTCCATATTACCGCAGCTTCTGTGAGTCAGACCCCCCCCCCCCTCGTCCCTCGTCCCTTTAAAACAGGAGACAAATACAAGAGGAGATGGAGGAAAGCTCCATCTCCTCTTGTATTTGTCTCAGCTGCACCTCACTTCAAAGGGGCTCTGTTGCTGCAGGTCACAGAAATACCTTTTGCAGCACTTTACACACAGCACATCATGGCTGTGTGTGTCTGTGCAGCTCCCACGTTTTTATAAATACCATAGTAACAGAGTTCTGTGGTTGCATGCGTGCATCTGTGTGTTGAGAAGTGCTCATCTTTTGCCATAAGATAATTTATGCTCCTACATGCCTATATTCTATGTGAAAGATACACATTTCAGGCAAGTTTGAGAGCATGTGAGTGTTTTTTATTAATCTTTCCTGCATTAACAGAACGTGTGTGTGTGTGTGTTTTCTTTCAGCAGCGGAACCTGGAGGGCTATGTGGGCTTCGCTAATCTTCCCAACCAGGTGTATCGGAAGTCAGTCAAAAGAGGGTTTGAGTTTACGTTAATGGTTGTAGGTAAGTTGTAAAAATCTACATCTGACCTGTGAGTGAGGATGTGATCGTGCATATTTTCTCCTGTGTGTGTGTGTGTGTGTGTGTGTGTGCCCAAGCCAAACCTACGTTTGCACACCTGCCCATCTGATCTGTGTCTGCTTGTCTGAGTGTGTTTTCATTTTTGTGTGAATGTGGGTCATCGGAGCAGGTTGAAAGGAGGTAAAGCATGTGTGGCATGCAGCGCACTCAGCTGCTCAGGATGACGAGTTGACATTTTAAAAAGCTGCAGAGCGGCGATGGCCCAGTGTGGCGAGGCTTTTAGAACATTTACAGTTTTGTTCAGTGACGCAGAACGTGTGCATGTGAAAATATTTCTTGTGAAAGCTGGATTCCCACAGTTTCCCAGGGGAGTTTCCTCGGTTGCCCCAGGACCCACGATGACACATCTGTGTGTGTTGGAGGCTTTCATTTGGAAAGTGAGCGGGTTCAAGTATGAATGAGCTTTGTTGCAAAGTGTGGCTAACAGCATTACAAAGGGAGGGAGTTGGACAGAGGAGTAGATGGTTTTGGCTGTTTTATATGGACACACACGAACACACAAGTAGCGTTGCTGAAATAATGTCATCACTTCCTGTCTAGACTCTACTTGCTTCTGTAAGTTAATGGAATCTGTCATTCACCATTTCTTTCATCAGTCGTCGAAATGAAGGGTGTCACAGGGGTTTACTTTCCATATTTAAGGCAAATTACCATCAACCACAGCGCTTGCTATAAGAAATTTAAACCGTTGTGATTTTTGAACAATGTTAAAGAACTCTTACTTTGTGAGTACAGAAAAAAAACTACAGCTTCCATTAAAAAAAACTACAAGCACAGATATTTTTACCATCGTAACTTGGTTTCATCCATAAAAGTCAGTAACACTCTTGTATAATGTGTTTTTTTTAGCTGTAATATCTGCTGTGCTGTTTACTACGTTCAGTAGTAACCCAGAGGGTCTGGTTTTACTTGGCCCTCTATTGACATATTGAGCCGTGCTCTGTGTGAATGGGTCCTGTAATGAGTAATGAACAGATATGGATTGTACTATGGAGTGCTGCTGAGCTGTCAAATAAATCCTGTCTAAATTGATCTTCACACTTTCAGTGCACACTCTGTGCAGGGTCTGAAGTGTGCACAGTACAGTTTTATTATTAACAAAAAGTTAAATATTGAATTGGGGCTTTGTTGGTAGCTAGATCTGCCACTAATGATTATTTTCGTTGTCCATTAATCTGTCGGTTATTTTCTTGATTAAACGATTAGTTTATTAATAATAATAATTATAATTAATTCATTTTTTGAACTACAAAAACCAAAGAGATTCAGTTTGCTGTCATGGAGGATGGAAGAAACATATTCACATATAAGAAGCTCGGAATCCGAGGATTTTTTGCTTACTTTATATTTAATGGCAAAAATTAAACTTCTTCAAGACATCTCAGCCTTGTAATTCCGCAATTGTCGTAATTTTCCACATAAAGCAGGAGGTTGCTGTTGATCTTTTTTTCTTGTAATCGTCAACAGATCCCATGAAATGACCCAACAGTGTGTCTCACTTTCCAACTTCCCTGCTCTGCACTGCACTGTTGGTTCCTACTGAAGACGTCGTTTTCCCATTGTGCTATTTTTTTCCAACCCTTTGATCCTTTCTGCTCCTTAAAATATCCTGGATCCTGGAGGGCTTTTTTTAATTAAATTTTTTTTGCTTGGAAGAACATCACAAAACAAATCAGCGCTAACAAAGAGTCTTACATTGTTTCACCCATTTTTTGTTCCTGTCCCTCCGCCACAACCCCAACACAGTGGATTTGAGTGTTCTACCATTAAAATGTTTTAAAAGGTCATAAATCTAACTCAGTGTATCTTGTGGTGACCCCGATCAGCTAAGTGAAAGGAAAAAGACATTAACACAAAGCGGCGTCCAACCTTTTATTATTTCAGCCTGGGGTTTTAGCTTCCTGTTTAGTAAACAGCCACAGCAGGAGGGCCACAAAGACAGCAGAGTGATGACTTGGGAGAGAGATCCACAATCAACTAGATCCTGTTTCAGGCCTTCTCATATATGGGCCCCTCTGTCTCTCTTCCCAGTTTGCTTGGCTCCCAGCCCTGCATACCCCAGACGATCCAACTTTCACACATAGCAAATGTGAGGAGCATAGCAGTGTGTTCACCACTCAACACAAGAAGAGGATCAGAGGGAGGGTTCCTGGCTGATGTTGTTTGTCCCTTCTCTAAATGTTTTCTGCAAGCTATGATGCTGTGAACATATTGGTTAATGTTTTTTCCATGACATAGACTTCACATATCTAAAACTGCGACTCCTCCGTTGCATTTTAGCTTAAGAGAGTTCTAAAGTGTCCTCTGCTGCTAAGGTCAGCACTGTCTCGACAACTAGCTGTTGGTCAAAGTTAAACTCAATGCAAAATAATAAATTGTGCAGATTTACTCCAACCCTGTATATTAATTTTGCCCTTTTAAATGCCAACTAAATCTAAAAATAGCCGAAACACTTGATGAAACTGATTTCGGGAAGTCTAGACAATCTGAATTTTAAGGTAGAGAATGAATGAGTGAGCTGGTGTCAGAAAGATCATGTTGGAAAAAAATTGCTGTAAATATGCTGAAATGAAATTCTGGCCTCTGTGTGCACAGACAGGAAATGACCAATTGAAACTTGAGTATAATCCAAACTTTGTCTAAAGCCGCAGCGAGTGTGTGTCCAGCCCAGAGACTGTATAAAGGTCCTGCAGAGAAGGAGGGTAAAGGGTTTGAGTCTGATACAGTTTGGAGAGCTACTTTAGCAACATAAGCAGCATCCAATGCATGTAGTTGAAGTCAAGTGAACTCTGTTTACAGTTTGTATGGTGAAATGTGGTGTTGGCATTTAGCATCCTTATACACCGTATCCTGTGTAACTTTGTTCCAAGTTCAAAAATATGATCACAAACCAATGTAATGGAGAAGTGATAGAGGGGAAAAAAAGGAAATACCAAAGAGACAGAAGAGCTGATTCATTTTTTTTATTTATTGGAGAAGCAGCCAGCTGGACCTACAGCGTTAGACAGACTGTGTAAGTAAAGACTGAGGGCTGGCCTCAGCACTGCTGCACTTGGCATTGTAGTAAAGTGTGAAAGCTGGGCTCGACTCAGAGGCTCAGTATTGTTCTGTTGTAGTTTTGGAACAGACAGATGGTGAAGTATGAGATGACTGATGCCTGCAGGTAACTCACTCAAATTCCAACAGCGTAGCGCGGATGGTTCGAATCTATCCAGTTCACCTCCTGGGCACTGCCAAAGGAGGCCTTGAGCAAGCACCTGAACCCCTAACTGCTCAGGGCGCCGCACAGAGTGGCAGCCCCCCTCACTCTGACATCTCTCCGTGTGTTGCTATGGGTCCCGTTTGTGCGTGTGTGTGTGTTTCAGACCTGTGTGTTTAATACTAACAATAACAATAACGGTGTGAAAACATTGAATTTCATAAATAGAGTATATCTTCTTCTTATTATTATTATTGTTGTCGAGGTCAAGGGCAGTATTTGAGTACTGTGTGATTGACGTTGTGAAGCAGGTAGTGCTGTTACCCTGTCCCTGTCCTGTATCTAACTTGGAGGAGCTGTTGTAACTGTTTGTTCTAAAGTGGTGGTGTGCTGCAACAGCATCCCTGCTGAGCAATTGGACAACAAAAGGTCACCAATATGTGCAGTGGAATAAGTGAAAGTAGAAATAGGGGACTCACCTGTGTGTGTGTGTGTGTGTGTGTGTGTGTGTGTGTGTTTGAGTTTGAGAGGGAGAGACAAAGAGAACAAATGGCAGACAGGCTGAAATATGAGCTCTAATATGTCTCATGGCCAGACGTCAGCTTAACAGATTGGAACGGCATCCAGCTGCACTTGTGTTTCTGACGACAGCAGGCTGTGTGGGGAACTGTGTTAATATAACCAAAGCACTCTCAAGCTAAAAATATGGGCATTAATATGTTGATTGGAGTTATCAAAACAAGAAGCCTGGTTGTATAAAATTAAAGCATATTGTGAAATACTCATAGCCGTCTTACCCAGTGTCGCAAGTACCTGGGTGTCATTCTCATTATTGGGACTGTCATGCTTACTTAACTCAAAAACACAAATCAGAGAAAGCAGCCTAAGCCTCCTAAAGCTTTCCAAATAAACTCCACCTTAACAGTAGGGCTGAACGACTCATCGTTTTCAAATCAAAATTTGAAAAGAACGCGATCAGCTCACCGAGAAGACGGCGATTAAAATGTGGGTTAATTATACAGCAGTCATACAGTTACGTATGCATTTCGTTGTCATCCTTGTGCGACAGACCTGCTCGCCAGTCTCAAGCTCCATGCGCCTCCTGTTATGATCCTACTCACTAATCAGAGCGGGCACAGGGCGGCAGCCGATGCCTGTACCGCGGTTTTGTCCGGCGCCAAACCACACTGAAGTGTTTCAGCAGCGGAGCGTTAAGCCTACTTGTTGTTAGCGTGTTGTTAGTTTGTAATTTTGGGATAACAGGTCCGCTCTCTGCAGGCTACCATTACATATCCACATGGAGCATTTCAGAATAAGAGCATTTTGCCTGCCTGATGTACAGATTTCACAAATTTTGCTTATTTGTTTAGTTGTCCTTGATTTTTTTTTTTTTTTTGCTTCTACTATGGTTCGACAAACTACATAGTTAAATTGATCCTCTGTGCCGTTCTGTCTGACTTCTTGCCTGGTTCATCTGCCTTGTGCTGCTTGACGCGATATCCGCCAAAAATAGACAGCGCAATAGGCAGTGAATATTGAACTTTAGCAAAACTTCAATTAAAAAAATCAAATCGTAATATCTGGCAGAAGAATCGCAATTAGATTTTTTTTCTGAAATCTTTCATCCTTACTTAACATATCTCATGGGAAATTCTGTTAGTTGTTCTGCTGTCAGTCGCTCACTCCCTGTGAAGGAACACCACCAGAAACTCCTCTTCCCTAG